CAACAAAATCTATGGGCTAACAAACCTAAATAAAAAACATTAGCTGACATGGGCTAGTTGATCTGGACATTTCTGACAAGTTATAAATAGCTCTCTAAGGTCTGCAATGACTGACATGACAAGAGGAACTGATGATGCACTACCCAATTTGGAAATTGCACCTTGTGATTTCTACTATTATAACTTTCAAGAGTAAGTTTAAAGCTGGACTGAGTTCTAAAATACTACTTAATCTGCATCTCATTTCACATTTCAACACCCAATACCTAGGGGACTTCTAATTGTGATTTAACACATGCCCTTTGAGTCTGTTTTGGTTATGCTTCTTCCCTCCTATTCTGTTTTATTCAATAGGCAGCAGACCTTTACAAGTTACAAAACAAGAACATTTCCATATGATTAATGTTCTATTACTGCTGCTTTGTATGGTAATTAAGTAATTATAATAAATGAATGAACTTCTGAAAAAACAAAGAAAACAAACAAAATGGGTGGGGTTTTCTTTGCAGCATGATGCAACAACATTAACCTTTCCCAGAATACTTCCTATTCTGCATTTAAAGAATGCTAATTAAATCAGGTTCAGCTATGAAGTTTTAGTCCAAAATAATTACACAATGTTAAATGAATATGATGAAAATAAAATACACTTGAAAGTTCTGCTTCTACTGTCAAAGCTGGTTACAAACTCAGCGTGATTCAGTGGTTATATTTCAGAGGTATTAAGGGAGATAGGAGCGATCAAACTCTCATGCTCCCTAGAAAAAAAGCCAGACAGAGAGAGAGAGAGATGGAGAAAGGGAGCGAGAGAGAGCAAGAGAGAGAGAGAGAGAGAGAGAGAGAGAGCGAGAGAGAGAGAGAGAGCGAGAGAGAGAGCAATGGGGGGAGATAAAGAGAGAGAGAAGAGGGGAGTCAAGACAAGATGAAAAAAGAGACTGCACCGATGAGACCAGGATGGCTGCTGAGTTGGACAGGCAGCACATCAGATCAAAAAGGTGTCGGGTCTACAGAGCCAGAGCCCACATCACATTGCAGCTTCACAAACACTGACTCCAGCAGCACTAATGAAACAGGAGAGGCCTCAGGTGTTTAAAAAATAACTTTTATCAGGGAGAGATGCATTACATATTCGCTCCACACAGTCGCTGTTGTGCCTGGCAATAAGTCAGTCTTGATAAAAAAGAATGAAGGAGTAGACTTTGTGTTCGAGAGCTCAATGCTGAATAACTACGTGTTCTGTGAGGCTCTCTGTCCCTGGCTGTAATGCCTTCAGTCACTGAGCCATGTCTGTTCAGCAGTTGAACAGGATCACACTGGAACTAACATTTGCCTCCATCAAAACTACACTCAACAAACGCAAAACAGGTCGCAATTAGATTTGATTAGGACATTTTTGTTCACAATGGTTGCACAATGTTCTTTGGTTCTGTCAAGATGAAGGTGAACTTCATTAGGATAATACAAACGTAGTGCTGTTGCCTCATGCTTTTGTGTTGCATGACCTCTCAAATTGTAGCTGTATTTCCAAAGGTGAGAAAATTAATTAAATTGATATTCTCTTTAGGAACTGAAGTGATTCAGCAAGAACAAAAATGTGACTAGTTTCAGGAAACTAGGCGTATGTCGCGCTTCACTACTTCACAGGAGAGGCATTTGTAACCATTTTTCTTTATCAAGATGCGTTTTTTGGCAGAAAGGCCTTCTGGAACATGGAACTTTCATGTGCCTTAATAACAAACTTATATTCCATCTGTACATACGAATACTATTGTTAAATTACGAGCCTAGTTGGTTTAGCCACAGAAAAAGACAGGAACCTTCCCGCTAGCCATGATTGGCTGAGATAATGGATGGGCTGGACAGATGAGTTTGGACTGGTCTGCCATGTAGCACACTTCTGTCTATAACATGAGATGGTCAGTATGTGTAGGTAATCCTTTCTAACGCGGCTTTTTTGAAAGATATCACGTAGTAGAACTGTAAAAGTGTTGCTCTTCACTTTCTGGAGGACCGAGTTTTGAAATCAGTGGAATGCCCGGTGGAATTAGAGAATGATAGCTACGGAGATGGAGAAAATTCTGGCATTTGATTGCAAATATGCAGAGGGAACACACAGAAGGCTGTTGTATAAAACGCCTGTCTCAGGATTACATCTTCAAACTAAGGGCAACCATGGCATCCGTGACAGAGAGGGAGACGCGTCCACTCATGTATACAGGTAAGATAGTCTAGCTAGCTATATTTTCATATATTATACGTTTCTAATTTTGTCAGGTCATTTTCATTTCAGGGCTTCGTGATGGCCACTCCAATACCTTGACTTTGTTATCCTTAAGCCATTTTGTCAAAACTTTGGAAGTATGCTTGGGGTCATTGTCCATTTGGAAGACCCATTTGCGACCAAGCTTTAACTTCCTGACTGATGTCTTGAGATGTTGCTCCAATATATCCACATAATTTTCCTTCCTCATGTTGCCATCTATTTTGTGAAGTGCACCAGTCCCTCCTGCAGCAAAGCACCCCCACAGCATGATGCTGCAACCCTCGTGCTTCACGGTTGGGATGGTGTTCTTCGGCCTGCAAGCATCCCCCTTTTTCCTCCAAACATAACGCTGGTCAATATGGCCAAACAGTTCTATTTTTGTTTCATCAGACCAGAGGACATTTCTCAAAAAGTACGATCTTTGTCCCCATGTGCAGTTGCAAACCGTAGTCTGGCTTTTTTATGGCGGTTTTGGAGCAGTGGCTTCTTCCTTGCTGAGCGGCCTTTCAGGTTATGTCGAAATAGGACTTGTTTTACTGTGAATATAGATACTTTTGTACCTGTTTCCTCCAGCATCTTCACAAGGTCCTTTGCTGTTGTTCTGGGATTGATTTGCACTTTTCGCACCAAAGTACGTTCATCTCTAGGAGACAGAACGCGTCTCCTTCCTGAGCTGTATGACGGCTGTGTGGTCCCATGGTGTTTATACTTGCATACTATTGTTTATACAGATGAACGTGGTACCTTCAGGCGTTTGGAATTTGCTCCCAAGGATGAACCAGACTTGTGGAGGTCTACACATTCTTTTCTGAGGTCTTGGCTGATTTCTTTTGATTTTCCCATGATGTCAAGCAAAGAGGCACTGAGTTTGAAGGTAGGCCTTGAAATACATCCACAGGTACACCTCCAATTGACTCAAAGATGTCAATTAGCCTATCAGAAGCTTCTAAAGCCATGACATCATTTTCTGGAATTTTCCAAGCTGCTTAAAGGCACAGTCAACTTAGTGTATGTAAACTTCTGACCCACTAGAATTGTGATACAGTGAATTATAAGTGAAATAATCTGTCTGTAAACAATTGTTGGAAAAATTACTTGTGTCATGCACAAAGTAGATGTCCTAACCGACTTGCCAAAACTATAGTTTGTAACAAGACATTTGTGGAGTGGTTGAAAAACGAGTTTTAATGACTCCAACCTAAGTGTATGTCAACTTCTGACTTCAACTGTAGTATGTGTTTACCAGAGACGGTAATGTGAAGAACATGACCTGCACCAAAGTCAAATTAGGATATAACATTAGGCCAACGAGACAGTGTCCAAGTTCAAAAATTATCCGGTAGAATGCCTTGCTTTTATTTTGTCACACTCGCAACTGTTAATTAATAACATTAATAATATGCATGTCAATCTCTCCTGGCTCAAAGTGGAGGAGAGATTGACTTCATCACTACTTGTATTTGTGAGAGGTATTGACATGTTGAATGCACGGAGCTGTCTGTTTGAGCCTTTGCAGCAGCTAATGGGGATCCATAATAAATACAAATACAAAACTGTAAGCTATTTTCTGTAATTGGCTCCCATTTAACTTGTAAATAATGATCTTGTTGTGAGTTTATTTTCCTGTAATAATGAAGACAAATTAGCTAAAGTAAGACGTCGTCAGTTATTTGAACTGGCTAGCCAGCTAACTTAACATTAGCTAGCTAGCTAACAAACTAGAACCAAAACATTCACGGGCCATTTTCTCAAAAGTGAGGTTACAAGTTTATCAACTCTCAAAGCACAATTACTTTCCAATTGTTCCTCAACTGTAGTGTATGATATACCATTTTCTAGCTCTGAGTCTTTCCTTTTATCCAATGTAAAAAACACAATTTCATATTGTGCTACATATGACCGAATCGAGCCGGTCGGTGACAAATAGCCTACTCACTAATGTATACAGGAAACAAGGAATTAATTGAAGAGGGGAAGATGATAATGGCTTTATTTTTTTTAAACGTTTGTTTTCTATTTTGATATATATATATGTGATTAATGTCAATGTCAATGACTAAATGAGATGTATTAAAGCATGCATGCAGTCTTTGTAATTAAATTGTTAAATCATCACTGTATGTCTAATAAAACACTGTGTTTATTTAATGAAAATAACTCCAAAATATTTGTCATCGTTTATTTCCCTGAGATATTTACATACACAGACCAGATTGGCTGATAGGATGGTCTACAGCCCACCCCTTTACCTAGATGAAGAGTAATTTGTCTATTATAATCAGATCACAGTGTGATGTTATGATGTAGGCCAAAAGTTCCATTCCACCTGAACAGGCTGAAATTCCACACAATTTGTCTTAATATTTGTACATTATTGTAATGCGGAAACCCCTGAATTTCTGAAGTGATGCAACATAGTATTCTTGAATTGGGTGCTTTAGCTTTCACTGACAAATCTGCTGACAGGAAACACTGTTCATTTCCCCTCATTGGGTTTCATTTACTGTACATCAACACATTCCTCCGGAAATGGTTCATGTCCATGAGTAGTTTTCAATGCTTGAGATATTATTGTGTTATAGTAACTGACTTGAGGTTGTGTCTGCAACTTTGTGGATTCCTTATACGTACAGTACTAGTACAGACCATTGGTTTGGCACAGGCTGTTTCCCAGTCATGCCAATTCAAATAACATTTAATTGAGTTGAATTGAAAGCGAGAAAGATAGATACTCACAGCTCTCTATCTCCAGTGTGCAGTTTTGTTCGTCCAGCGGATATCGTCTCAGGTCCATCATACAAGCTGCTGTAGTGGTGATCCTGAAGGGAAAAAATACATTGTCAAGAGTCAGTACAGACCAAGGATGTCATATCGAAGGTTCAGGTGGTACTGCCAATGGGATCCCAACTTCACCCTGTAATTGCTTAAGTGGAGCTTTAGGTCCAAGGAACCTGGGCCGAGTAGCATGAAGACATTCATTATTGCCTACAATCAAAATCTCAATCAGTATCTGGTGCCTGGGTCTAGCAGATAACTACATCCTCGAAGCAAGGGCACATTTAGCTACTTAATGGCTTTTTATATGAGCGTCAGGAGGTTCTTCATAATCTTTTGCTCTCATATCTTGTCAGTGTACAGATACAGTTAATAGTGTGAAGAAGTCGATGAAAACCATGAGCTGATATTGATCCCCAGTTAAATCAACACTGGGTAAATCTCTAGATTATCTCCACCTTTTTTAGCAGCTATAGCACTGCTGCAGCAGCACTTCCAGCAAAATATTAGACGATTCCAATAAAGAGCTAACTCATTTTCAAAGTTTCCCAGACGTGACCAAGAAAGAAAACACAAACAAACTGGGATTTAACAGCAATGGACTTTGCGGAACTAACAATAAATACTGTAAATAGAACAGTTGAGTAAGCCTACAGCTGCACGCAAGTCAATATTCACTTTTCCTCTAGCCTACTTTAATTATACAGTAGCCTTTGATGTCAGATAAATAAGCACTGCACAACTACAAAACCACTAAACAAGCCGTACATGATTCTGCATCAGTGGGTGCAGCCCATGGACTCAAGGATTAAAAGGCCAAACCTAATCCTTGTCCTAGATGGAACATTCTTCAAATAATCCCACTATACAGGTTCCCCTTACCTGAAAGGTGAATCACAGGCTAGCTCGCTGCAGGGACTACCAGGCCAACCAGGACAGCTACTGATAACAGCCCCACACTATCTACCTTTTAGAAACATTTGTAATTTAAGCTCTTATCCAGAGCGACTTACAGAGGTGATTGCATACAGTTTCCATACTTTTTCATACTGGTCCCCTGTGGGAATTGAACCCTCAACCCTGGCATTGCAAGCACCATGCTCTACCAACTGAGCCACATGGGACTGCTATCAACACACTGCACTAAATCACTCGGTGACATACTGTAACCTCTGGCTACTGCTACACTACATTAGTATGCTTGTAGGAACTTCACATAGATTACGGGGCTCCAAATCGGGTCCTGAGGAGCTAGGTGTGCAGGCTTTTATTCCAGCCCATTACTAAATGAAACCAATTCAAAATATCAACTAATTATGGTCTTCAGTCAGGAGCATGATTAGCTGAATCAGGTGTGTTACTGAAGACCTGGAATTAAGCCCTGACAACCAGTAGTTCTCCAGGACCAGTTGGAGAGCTCTGATGTAGTCGGATCATAAGTGACCTTGTGGTCTCACTTATAGAGGCAATGCTGAAAGGGAATATATTATAAAAAATTACCTTAGTACATCAAACACGTTAATATGAAAGCAGAATTGGCTTGAGGTCATAGGTGAAAGCTTGCTCTATGTACGTCAAAGGGTAGGCCTAAGCATTCATGCTAGTAATTGTAAAAACTCTGGCTTGCAGTCCATCTCTCATATTCTCACTGACACAGAGCCCACTAACAAGACATATATATCCCAGGGAGACAAGAGATGAGGGTGATAGTGAGAGGAGGAACTCTTTTCATCTTGTAAAGTTCTCAGCTGCCAGGATTGGTTGAGTGGGAAGAGTGCCTTAGGTGGAAGTCTACTGGCACAACTCAACGAGAACAAAGAAAATGGATGACGTGAATACCTTGTGAAGAACTCATTGAGATCTCGAAGTCAACTTCTCTTGCCCTCTAGTCAGCGTTGTGAAGATAACTTAATGACTGGAAATTAACTTGAAAAACAGAGCTGCATCGTGCAGTAGAACATTTGACAAATTGTTCTCTGCAAATGTGTAGCCTATTGCAAAAACTGTCTTAAGTGTGTTTTAAATATTTACTGCCTTAATATCCAGATTATTAACATACCTGTCCATTTCTTCTCCTGCAGTGTTCATTATCATCAGCATTAAAGCTCAAGTCCTTCAAATGACAAATGGAAATCATATAACCCTGGAGACGTGTGGAATGTATCTAGTTATAGGCCCCAGGTGCCAAACCGCCATTAAACCTGAGCGCTATCATTATTTTAGAGGCCAAATACTGGTAGGCATAAAGTACGGTGTCCAATAAAAAAACGCAGATTTTGACCAATGGGTAAAATAATATGTTAATTGTGTAGATAATCCTCTAAGAAAACCAATGATCCAAACCTCATGTCTCCATCATAATCCGTCTTAAAAGTTATTGGATTTTTTACCCTTGCAGGATGGCTAAAATTAGGGTGACAAGAGTAAAAAAAGTGGTAAAAAATAAGGAAATTTTACAGCATCACATCAGCTAGGCTGGATGCTGTGCGAGAATAAAGGCTATCTGACAGGCTCACTTTCCCGCAGGACATAAAACAATAAAGAGGTAAGATAGATTTTGAGACATGACATTTGTAGTATTTTCATATTTTAGTATACACTTTTCATATTAATTCGAATTTCCTGTTCTTTTAGAAGACTTCTCACAAAAACAAGGGTATCTCTGTGAAATTTCAACGGAGCACTGAGCGTACTGCAAGCTTTTTATTTTCAAATCCTTTTACATTAGATTCAGTGCGTGTCATGCTAATTTAGCTTTTTGCGACACGCAGAAACAACTTTGAAGACGAACACCACAACATGTAAAATCCTAAAAAGTTGCTGTGAAAAAGCTGCACCGTTCTGTCAACAGAGCTCGGTGCATATTAACGGATGTATTAGGTTACGAAATCAGACTTTTTGGATATGCTGTTAAAGAAACGTCACAGAAAGACTCAAATGAACAATTCAAAACATGAATAATCATATTTGTCTTTGTAAAATATATTTTATAACGTAAGGTAGTGAAATTTCATCACCAAAGCGGGTCTTCACCCAGTCTGAGCAGAGTAGGTGGACACCCTACATAAAGATCTATAAAATGAAAATCTTCATTCCATCTGGGGTGACCTGTGACCCACAGGGTGCTTTTATAGCAGCTTAAATGAAAATTTCCAGAGGTATAATTATGCATACAGCCGACCTGAAACTTCTCCTCCCTCATCCCAGCGGGCAAAACTAGGCAAAACTGGTTGAAATGACTGTAATTTCAACCAGTTTCTTGTTACAATGAGGCAATTTCAACCAGTTTTGCCCGCTGAGATGTTTAACACTATAGTCTGCTGACTCTGATAAAATAAACAAACTCACATTTTCCACAGTCTGTGTTTGTACACACTCCTATTTGTAAGCCAAATGTCTGACCTACTGTGATGTTCTTTTAGAAAACACAATGCACTCTGAACGCATATTTAATGGATATTTAGGGTTCTGAATATTAGGCCGCCTTAGTTTACCCACACGGAGTAGAATACTTTGAGAAATGTGTTCAAATGGTAACTTTGGAGAGTTGTGAAACATTTCTGCAAGGTCTTGTGTGACCCAAGGGGGACAGGGCACCTTTAAAAGCAAATGACTCTCTGTTTCTGTATACTGAGGCTTAAAGGGGAACACTCTGCCCTGTTGAAACTGGCTCAGAAACCCTGGGAGAGTTCTAGTTTGTGAACTTCAGACTCAAATACTGAATATATTGTATGTTTAAATTATAATTTGGTTGTTTTCAATATTAGTTATTGAGTGCCAACACAGGGGACTTTTTATAATTGTACAAGAGGCCTGCCAGAGATTACGCCAATACCATTTCCATCAGCAACAGGAGCATGATTCTACACTCTGTAAGTAAGACAGAATGGTTACTTTGCTTACAACTAGGGACCAGAGTTGTTCTTGATCAGGTTGCGTGGTCAGGAGAAACTCCTGGCCGGAACAAAGTCAGTCATCCACACAGAGAGCAGGGCAGTCTTTATCCTACTAGAACTGGTCCGAGTCCCACACTGTAATATCAGCCATGCGTGAATAGATCAGGTCAGCGTATTCATCAGGCAGGAGCAGGAACAGAAGGGGTTGATAGATGGTGAGCAATAGGGAGTCACTCTCTCTAGCTGTGGTCTTGCGTGAGAAGAGAAGGTGGACGCCCACAGTGGGTGCTGCCAGCCAGCCACGGATCTGCACGGCACCATGGGTAATTGTCTAAGCCCACCTGACGACACTGATAAATCCCGGCCAGCGGAGAGGCTCATTTTGGAGCCCAATCCTCTGTGGTACGGCGCAGAGCTAATCACCTCCTCCCCGCCTCCTTCACAGCTGTCCCTCTACATCATCCACCACCGTCCCCAGACTGCAGCCGAGTCGAGGCGAGGTCGACGCATCCTGGGCACTGGGTACAACATCCTCCATCTCTAAACACAGTCTGGAGATCTGGGCCAAGAATCTACTATAAGTTGGTATCTTGGTCAACCACTAGATGATTTCAAGTACCAGTAACTGGGCCATCTGGGTGCGCATGGGCCTTTGCTTCATATTTCCCATTAATCAGAATGACAGGTGCTCTCTCATACCCTATTTCAGGTAGCTACATAGTTGGTGGTAGCGAGCAACTAATTATTAGCTAATTTGCCACAAATTAAATATGTATTACCATCGAATTATATTATATTCTTGAGGACATTCATGGGGCATACTCATAGTGGTGTCCTTTAGAATAGCACATTTAGTGCACACATTGTTCATCATCACCGTCCTCCTCTACCAGAGAGATAATAGGCAACTTATTTGAGATCATGAAAGCAGACCAAAGAATGGTTGATTGACGCTCTCACAGTGGTAGCAAAGCAAAAATACTTTTGCATGAGTAATCAGCTGTCAAACCTGGATCATCACATGATGAAGGGTGTCAAGTGTAACATTTACATGCCACAGAACGTCCCTTTATAGTACCTGTGATGAGCAAAACATCTCATCTCAATGCACTGAACACCTACTCTACTGTATTGTACCTATGTCCACACTGGACTACATAGTGAGAGGGATTGGGGTTCTGTGAAATAGATCATCAGGCAGTGAAGTGTCCCATCAGATACTCTCCCATCAGGGAAACAGAAAACCAGGCCTGCAGATTCTCCATCTGATGTCACTCCGCCTGTCAATTGCTTGTGTTTATTTCTCTCAGATACTGTAGCACTGATCTACAACACTAGAGAAAAGGTTCCAGAGATCAATCACAATTTGATACCTTAAGCTATCATTAATCTGATATAGGCACCATCCTGCCAAAATAGATACGGTAAACAGAAGCTTACAGGAGGGAGTATGGCACTGATTTGAAGCCACATACAGATTGGGGTTGTATTTCTGCGTTAATCTTATGTCAACTCAAGGCGCCAAGTGAAAGCAGAAGGGTGCCATACAGTACAGCGAAGCTCTGTTTCTGTGTGTGCAGTAGAAGTTAAAGGCCCAGTGCAGTAAAAAACATGATTTTCCTGTGTTTTATATATACTGTATTTCCAACCTATGAGGATGGAATAATACTATGACATTGTGAACATGATGATAATGCCTTTTTATTGTAAGAGCTGTTTGAAAAGACCGCCTGAAAATTCAGACTGTTTTGGTGGGATGGAGTTTTGACCTGGCTGATGACATCACCAGGTGGTAAATTAGTTAATAGACCAATAACGAAGAGAGTTCCAAACCTCTCTGCCAATAACGGCTAGTTTTAAATTTTCCCCTCCCCACTCAGACCACTCCCACACAGTCCTAGCAAAAAATTATTGCATGAGAAATTGCTTTTTGCTAAGAAGCTATTTTTGTTAATTTTTTACCATTTTAATTGAAAACAATCACAGTAAGGTACTTACTTAATTCTTACCCAGAGATATTGAGATAAAAACGGCTGCATTGGACGTGTAACAGGCCAAACTCTCGCATAACACAGAGAGTCTTGTCACAAAGCCAGTTAATATCAATGAAGAAATGGAGGGAAAAAATATGTTCCTTGCTGTTTCAAATTACACACTCCAGAGGTTTTGCACCCTGGAGTGGGCATATTCCTTAAAGCCTCCGAGGTCGAGATGGATGTTCTCTTTCCGCCTGCGGTCAACCTGTCTTTGTCAGCAGTAATTTCCCTTTGATGCATCTGCTGAAGGTTTCTGACTTCCAAGTGTTTAACCAAGGAGCAAATTGCCGGTTACTTGCCAGAAACTTTCTGATCACTGTGTCAAGATGGATTCAATGGAGTAGAACTTAAGCAAGCGCCTTTGGCACAGTCTACAAAGGAATGTGTCAACATACAGTACAGTGGTAGGCCAGTGGTGTGTGTGTGTGTGTGTGTGTGTGTGTGTGTGTGTGTGTGTGCACCTGAATGTGTTGTGTGTCTCTGTGAACATTTGTTTTAAGTATTAATTGATGTACAACATAATTTTTCACGTTTCCAACATAACCCTCGGTTGCTTGGTTACTGACTACAAGCGGTGCCAAGTGAGCCCCATATGGCTGTCCACCTACTGTGACCTCAAGTGCCAGGCGGCGCGATGGGACTCTGGCACAGGCTCAGTGCACATTGTGGCAGGGGTATGGGGTCTCACTAGGATCCAGCACCCCCCTGGATCTCCAGAAGTTTGAGGTCAGAGCTGATGGCCTCAAGGAGGAGGAGGGACCAGGGCTGGGGGGGAAGGAGAGAGAGAACAAACAGTTCCATCCACACGTCCCATCAGCCCACTCCTACTGCTGTCTGTTCTAGTTTCACACACAGGCATCAGCACGTCTCCCCTGGACATATTTTCACACGATATTGTGCTCATTGTGTGTGGTCACCTTGGGTTTCCTACTGCTGGTCTGTCCTGATGCTGTTTGGGACATGGGGTTATGTTATTTAGGCAACACAAAGTTGTCCAATGCTCAAAGCATCATTCCCTGTTCTATGAGAGCAAACACATCGTTATTACAGATGTAGGATCTTAATTTGAGCCAGTTTGCTACAGCAGGATAATAATTCTGCAGCAACAGGACATGAATTATTATGTGGATTACAA